ATATATATATATATATATACCCAAATACTAAAATTTTATATAACCTTTAACATGTTAAGGTAACTTCAAACTAATGTTTCAATAGTTTTAAACCTTCAGCTTTGATTAAAGTAAAAGGGGCGATCCTTTCTTAAAAGTCTTTGTTCTGGCATTTCCTTTTACTGGATGACAACACTCTGTCCCTGTTGTGCTCTTGTGTTGTCACCCAGTCACACAGAGTTCCACTGGAGAGTGTAAGTGGCTGTTGTAACGTGCACTGTGCAGGCACAGTCCATTGTTGTCACGATAAGGAAGCCAGCCCTAAGAAAATTAAGCTGGAGTGCACGCAAGTATGCATAAAATGGCTGCAAAGGGGCTGCAGGAGACCTGCAACACTGAGATTCAACAAAATATACAAGAGGTGGAAATAGGCATTTTATTCCTAAAAATGGCGATTATTTATAATGCACAGTGTCTTAGAAAAATTTAATTTAGCTATGATTTAGAGCTACTTTAATTTGTCTATTCAAACTTATGTTACTATTGCCTACCAATCAGCAAAGAACAATCTGCCTTTTTTTTCTTTTATTGAAAGTGACACTTTTGTAGAAAATGCACAGAAGGTGTATATGGCTGGCACTCGGAACACAGTGTGTCCCTGGATGCTGTAAATAATTCTTCAACACCCCTACACACAGACCAAATTAAATATCTCATACTCTGCAAATATGTGTTATTTTAATAATCAGAGAACTGCTGCAAGTCACAGATTCTTTCCTTCCCCTTAAATGGATTGGTTCTTTAGCTACTTTTCTGTATGGCATATCTGATGTAAGTTTGCCACCTAGTGGACATTGACCTTAGTTAAGCAAAAAGTTATTGGTGAGCGATGATGTCAGTTTTCTCAATATGAGAGGAATTTGGCAATGAACTACAGTTCAAACATTTCCAAATAGATATACTATATAAAATGTCATGTGTTTCTTATTTAGACTGGGGTAGTCCTGCACTATATAGCGTTTATATTTTGGTATCCTGCAGAAAGTTCACTTTGCTGTTAAGTAGCACAGATTAGTGTACTGAAACAATTTTGCACGTTATCATTCATACAGTAAACATCAGAAAACATCTGTACTCATAATTAGAATATTTAGGAAGGTTTTTTTAAATGATACAAAGATGGAGCATATCTCACAAAAGTTTTTGTACAATAAAATATTAATGCAAATAGAAGGTTGATTTGAATAAGCTAAAAAGGAGGATGAGATTTCTAAGAGTAAATAAGACACATCCAGCAGCAGCTCTTGTATTAATTGACTTATTCATGCACCTATGTGCCTAGAAATATGTGAGAAATTGTTCCATAGATTTTTGGTAGAATATTTGAAGTTGTAGCATTTGTTCACTTAAAATAAGGGGAATTACTAACATACTCATGCAAAGCACAACTCTTCCTATGAGCCAATCAGATACGATGTTGCTGTACCATGGCTCAGCCATCAATGCACAAACAACTGTTCCGTCAGACTAACATTGACAAGCCATCCCACTGGGTGGAACATTCTAGAGCAATTCATAGAGGGTTATTCTCTATTGAGCCGAAGGCTATAGCCGTAGCTTCGGCTGATCCTTCAGCTCTCTTTGGCCGCCTGAGTTCAGTCGAACCGAAGGGCTGCTGTACGGGCTATTCACAATATCCCGTACAGCAGCCAAAGGTGGCCGAGCGACATATACTTCAGCTCAACTGAGCCAAAGTGACAGCTGAAGCAGGGTGAACAGCCTGGCGAAGGGCCAGCCGCTCGCCCCGCAAATGACCGCTGGGGGGAGCCAGCCGTGATCTCACGGCTGGCTCCGCAAGGTTGTAATGACAGATCAGCGTCCCCAAATGACCTGAGGATGCTGATCTGGCATTAAACAATAACAACTGGGCGAAGCCGACTGTGATGTCATGGCTGGCTCCACCCAGTTATTATTCATTGGCCGGGACCTACTAGAAGAGTCTAACAGGTGCTGGCCAATAGGAAACAGTTGAGTGGAGCTAGCTGTCACAGATAGCTCCGCCCAATTGTTTTAATTTTTAATTTATTTATTTTTAACTTTTTCTATTTTTGAACATTTTAAAAATAATTTTTCAACCTTTTTTTTTACACTCTTTTCACTTATTTTCTATTCTGGTCAGTCCCACAGCGGCATTCGGCTATTCACTCACTGCCGTTCAGCCCCTATGGGATTGGGGGGAACGGCAGCGAGTGAGCAGCTGGAGCTTCGGCTCAGCTGATCCAGATGTTGAATCGGCTGAGTCGAAGTCCCTCTGCACTTCGGCTCAGCCGAAACGAAGGCAGCCGTACAGAGCTGATGTACGGCTGATATCAGCCATACTGAGTCGGAGTGAATAGCCAAACCTCATTCAGCTCTGTTCACTTCAGCTTGGTTATTCACTCGGCTGCCTTCGACATCTTTGTGAATAACCCTGATAATGTTTTCCCCTTGTTAAATAGAGATACATTGGCTCCTATTCTATGGAGAGTTTGTCCAATATGCACATCATAAGCACCAATCATTGTGCATGTCAGTTAAAAAAATGATTGCCAGGCCGATGGTTATCAATCAAAAACTAATACATAAAATTATCTTTATACCTAATCTAGGGACCTTTATAAAATGTCACAGATCTCCCATGACTACAATGGAAAATGTACAAAGGAAGCTGAACTTGTTCTAACCTAAACAAAGATGGTCAGTGTTTGTGAAACCCTTTCAAGTGTTAGCTTTTTACATCACCAGTTACACAACATTTTTACTGACAAATGTTATTTACAGTTTTAAGGATGGAATATCATCAAACAGCACAGGATACTGAAATGCATCTAAACTATTTAAATGTGACATTTTATTACAGGTGGTGAATTATTTGTTGGTTTGTACAATGACTTCTGGGGAAGAGATGCCACTTTATTTAGGAGCATGGGACATCTACCACACATTCGAACAGAGCATGATGATGATCGAATCTTAAAAGGTAATTTAGATTATTTTATTAAATTGCACTACACTCCTTCCAAAGTCCAATATCACTACTCCTTCACAGCAACATTAGAGAAAATAGCAGGTGCACACCGGCTGAGCCAGTCTTACTCCAGCATCAGCAGTTACTCACAGAAAAAAGTCTGGTCACACACTGCAAGTTTCACTGAAACACTTATTGTAGCACACAGGTACACATCGTCCTGCCATGGATCCTCCTCATAGAGACTTTGGCTAAGCTTAATATTGGGTGAAACATATCAGAGTGAGGAGGATCCATGGCAAGATGATGTGTACCTGGGTGCTACAATTAATTGTTCAGCAAAACTTGCAGCCGTGCGACCAGACGTTTTTGTGAGGAACACTCCTGGGGGTGTTTGATGATTAGTTCACTGATCTTGTCACAGAATAGCTTTTTGTAATATCTACCCCATAAATCCCACGAAAAGAGCTGACACCACCAAGTGTCTGTATGCTAGCATTACACATATGTTGAGTATCTAAATACCACTGAAATATGGGCCACTGTGCAGTGCAACAAATAACGTGATCCCATTGGCTCTGGTCTGCCCCCTTACCTCCTACTGTTTTTCTGTCTCACTATTGGCCCATTGCTGTGGTGAGCACCCTCACTAGACTGTAGTAAGGTGACTGAGGAAAGAGGGACCAGACCACAGCCAACAACCACAGAAGCTGGCCCCATTATAAGATTGTCCTGTATTTTAGCACAAAGTAAAAGCTGTAATAACAGGCACATAAAAAGTATTTCTGTGGTGGGGGTCAGGTTTTTTTTGTTCTGGGGGGAAACTGGGTTGCTTTTGAGGAAGTTATCATACATTAAGATTACCGAAAGAGTATAAAGTGAATTATACCCAAAATATTTGGATATGTGTCATAATTATCAGCTTCAAATTCTGGCCTTGTCAACTTTACCTAGTTAGACCTGACTTCAGACGCACTTTAAGATATGTTTAAAAATGTTAGACTTGGCTTAAGACAACTAACTCATCAAAATCTATATTGCAGGTAATTACTATATTGCAAACCTTCTGATTTTTTTGGTGAAGAATTTACTTATAATTTGCATTATACTAATGGCCTGAAAAGACATATTCCTGACCCCTCGATAGTGCCTCCAAAACACCTTGAGGGGATTTTATAAAAATTGGAGAAGACAAAATCCGGAGGAGTTGCCCATAGTATTCAATCAACTTCCATCTTTCATTTTTAAAGCTTAACAAACTGAGAGAAGCTGATTGGTTCCCATGGGCAACTGCTCCACATTCTGTCTGCTCCTGATTTGATAAATTCTCCCCCTTGTCTGAGTCACTGTAGTTAGCTGACATTGGGTCGGTGCCTAGTTGAATCTGACCCTTACTGTACTTTACACTAGACATGTGCACGGCTAAAAAAAGTCATTTTCGCACGAAACAAATGAAAAACATTTTCATTCGTTTCGTCAAAGGAAACAAATGTTTATGTTGTTTTGGATTCGGAGGCAATGAGCCTCCAATTCCAAAACCGCACACTGAAGCTGTAGAACGAGTAGCGGCCATATCAGCCTCAGGCGCGTTCTGGTCCCACGCACCACCATCTTGGAGTGTACCTTGGTATACACCAAGATGGTGGCACCCGCATGTTCGAGCACCGGCATCTTGGTGTATACCAAGATATACTCCAAGATGGTGGCGCATATGTGCAGAACGCGCCGGCGGCCGTTATGGCCACCACTCGTTCAGCGTGTGACGTCACGATCATCACGTCACTCTGCCTCCAAGATTGCGTTGGGCATACGTAGAACAATATGACTGCCGCACATTCTGAAAACTAATTTATGTATGCCCGAATATAGTTTTTGCATTTTCAGGCATATAATAAAATTGTTATTTCGGATATGGATGAACCGCCAAATCAACTGAATTTCATTGATTTGCAGGTTCGCCCGAATCCGAATGCACATGTCTACTTTACACTACTTTTCCTATTTCAATTCGAAACAGTGAGAAAGTTTGGAGCCAAGATGTAATGAGGCCTATGCATTAAGCCCAGCAGTTATCAGTAAGAGAGTCCAAAACTGAATGTGATTCATTATCTGCAGCAGAAGATGGAGAGGAACTTTTCTCAAAGTGGCATACTTGTATATAGGTTTTAGTGTTACAATTATATTGTTCAGGCCAGTGCCATCCCTATAATGAAGCAACCGGAGGCTATTTTCTCAGGCGACATCTCTTTGGGTCATGTGCGGGTCAAACACCACCTCTTCCCCCCTAGAACACGACCACCAGCACCCCCATTCCACCTCAGCCAGCAATTATGCTAGGGACACCCCTGGTTCAGGCTGTCTGTTGCAGTAAAGCTAAGCGGTTTAACTGTCTGCCCTGATACTACCTGAGCAATATATGTGGGTACATTTATTTCGGGTAAATCCCCCTACTTTGTACCTATCAGAGTAAAAAAAATGTGAGCTTTCCATGTCCCATCATTCTCATTTCCTGATTCATTTGATAAATACAATATTTTTGGTTTGATGTCCTGTTGACAGAGCTTACTATAGAAATGGAGGTCTTTAGAATTCCTTGTGTGTACTACTTTCCCAAAGAGGCTGCTGTAAACTGCACTGTGTATGACAAATAATTTGATCTTTAGCCATAATCTCTTTACACATGGCTATATGTGCAAGGGGAAATATGTACAACTAAATCTGAAAACAATTACAGCAGATAGTAACTTCTAGGTGGAAATGTGCTGCATTTAAACAAAAAACCATTGTATTGATCTATTTCCCTTTGCTTTCTTTGTGTAGAACCAAAGTTTGTAGGCTCCTATATGATTCCAGACAATGAGGACACAGATGACAACAAAATATACTTTTTTTACACTGAAAAGGCAATCGAAGGAGACAATGGTGGCCAAGCTATTTATTCTAGGGTGGGAAGGGTCTGTGCTGTAAGTAAATTGTGTCTACAAATGCAAGATGCAATGTGCACATGTTTTTATGTTTTTGCAGTTCAGTTCACTAAAGAGTTGTTACTTGTCTGTATTTCTGGGGTTTTTTCTGTTAATATTTTCCTTGCACCATTTCTCTTTTTCATTCAATAAAAAACAACAAAAATGGTAAAAGCTCCAGGCACAAAAACTTTCATGTATATATAATTCTCAATAGCCACAAAGAATATAAATATACTTTGTGTGCACCAAGTGCATTTGCAAACCCAGTTATTTTGTTGTAAGGGTAGCAGTGGCATCATTACTGTGGTGTAAATAACCTGTGCAGAGAGCATAGCTGTGGGAGGGACCCAGCAAACCCACCTACTACAGTCTGCTTGCAGAACACTATGGCTGTAAGCTAATTAAAAGCTTGTACGATCTGCCCATCTTGGACAGGCAGATTGTACTTGCGATCATCACAAGCCCGCCCCGCTGAGAGGCAGGCTTCCGATGACTGCAATGCTGAACGGGCAGTGTGCACTTGCGCACACTGGCCAGTTTGGCATTTGTCTCCCGAGAGCGGCACTAAGCCACACTAACCCACCGAAAATCGTACGATTCTCGGCAGGTTTTCAAGCCTGCACGGGAGACAAAAGACGCGCAACCGTACAGTAGAAATGGTAGCACGCCTTCCATACACCTGCCAATTATATATAATCGACAGGTGTATGGGCACCTGTAGAGAGAGCAGCAGTGCCTGGTCATTATTACAGGATGCTCCTGCACAGGGGCAGTGTTTCGCACTGGATTACTGCACAGATCTGGAAAAAATATGCAAAGCTTTAAGTTATATCTCTAATGCTCTACATAAAAACTTAAAGCAGCTATTATTGTGTGATTAAAGGGTTAACTGTGCAGTTAACCAACACCAGTTACTCTTGGTCTTCTGAACTTAGATTTTTGCCTTGTGAGCTGGAAAATCTCTGTACAGGATGGGACTGGGAGTGTCAGAGCATTCCTATGTCTTTCCAGTTCACAGCAACATTTCAAAAAATGAATGGCCCACCAAAGGACGGCAGATACTACAGGTCAAGACTCATCAGTTTTCCTACACTTTAAGGAAAAGGGACATTCTTTTGAGTACAGTGAGGTGCACATTTTGGAAAGAGAGGACAACTGGTTCACAAGAGGCTTGAAAGAGGCCATCTACATCAAACAGGGGTGGGTCCTTCAACACATCTGTCTACTATATATTAAGCCATTTGAACATCTCTATTAGTGATGGGCAGGACACCCGCGTGTTCGGTTCGAATTCAAACTTTAGAACATGGAAAAGTTTGAATTCAAACTCAAACTCAATACAAGTTTATGGGGCTAGAACTTTGAAAATCAATTGTCCCCATTTTGAAGGCTTATTTGCAAGTTATTGGCCATAAAAAGGGTATAGGGATTCTGGTACTGACCTGGGGGACATGTATCAATGAAAAAAAAAAACTTTTAAAAATACAGTTTTTAGAGGAGCAGTGATTGTTAAAGCCCCTTAACCTCCCAGGCGGTATTCCCGAGTGTAGCTCGGGGTTACTTTTCCATACCATAAGCGGTAACCACGAGCTACACTCGGGAAAGCTGCATAGCATTTACTTACCTTGTCCCTCGAGCCGCGCTGTGTTCTGCGGCCGATGCCGGCTTCCGTCTTCCGGGTTCCGTCGTCTGCGAGCGTACGCTGCGCAGGGGAGCGGAACCGACGGGATATTTAAAAAAAACAATTAAAAAAAACGACAAAGACGAAAAACATTTGAAAAAAAAATAGACCGAAAAATGGCATAAAAAAAATTAAAAATCATACCGCCAGGGAGGTTAAAGGGAAACAATAATAATGAAAAAGTCCTTTAAATATCATGCCTGGGTGGTCCACTTAAACTGCCTGTAAAGTGGCGCATCTGTACAATGTATAGAACCTGTTGCAGCAAAAATTACATTTATAAATTTACATTTTACATTATAAAATTACATTTATTTGTGGTCAGGTGCAGGGGCCCTGACAGTTCGTGTGTTCGCCGAACATACAAACTGCTGATATTCGAGTCGAACTCATGCTCGACTCGAACATCATCCCTAATCCCTACACCAGTGTTTTGCCAACAATTAAAGTATACATTGGTAGATCTTCAAACGAATGTTCATATAAAAATGTTTATATGTTAATGTTGATGGAACTTTTGATAATGCCAACAGAGACTTGATGGATGTTGTTTGAAATTTTGTTTGATTTTTCTTCTTATTTGATTTTGGAATTAATGGAGTTTCCCAAATGAGAACATTTTTTAACACGCTCCTTCAAATTTTTTCACCACTGTGGTTGAAATTGATCCTTGATTTGACCCCAGCAACTATTAGAAAAATCTAACTAACATCCCAAAATCAATTTTGTTTGTTCAAAATTAATTCACAGGGTTATTCACAAAAGGGCATCTGCAAAAGAAGTGAACAATCTAGGCCAAAATAGCTGATTTGGAAAAATTCTCCAATTTATGTCACTTTCCAGTTCAGCTATGTTGTCCTAGATCGTTCACTTCTGCTGCCATCTCCAAACGCTTCACACTTTTGTGAATGACCCTGTTAGTGTGTACCCTACTTAACAGTTCAACAATATAAATTAAAGATTATACACCTATGCAGCTTCATGACCCCAAGGATTGAATTATGTAACTAAAACGGGGTGGTTCCAGACCTTTTACACCTCCTATTCCTTACTTCAACAATCAGCATCTGTTTTTCCATGGTGATTGGATTAAGGTGTCTGCATTATCTGTGTAGATATAAATGCTGGGGTATTTTCTTGAAACACATAAGAAGTGGTTCATATAAGCTAAGAACAGTTTTAAACATTACAGAACAAGTCCAGTTTTATGTAACTAACTACTACTAGCTATACCCTGACCTGATAAATAAAAATCTTTACAGAAATATAAATTATTTTTCTTTTTTTTAGAATGACATTGGAGGCCAGCGAATGATGGTAAATAAATGGACCACATTTCTTAAATCAAGACTGGTTTGCTCAGTGCCCGGACCACATGGGATTGACACACACTTTGATGAATTAGGTAAACTATTTTCATGTTTGGGATGTATAGCTTTTACATTTTTTTTTATATATATTTGCAAACATTATACAGTGTTTCACTAATATGCATATTACAAAGTCCATATCCATGCTTGAAACATTTACTTCAAGCACAATTTGAGGAGCAATGTTTCAAAAACAAGTGTATAATAGCAGTTTTATGTGATAACTAGAGTGCTGGAAACAATTCTTCTTTGAACATTTAGCCATAGGATTAGGCAGTTGTATTGCATTTAGTGGAAATACTGTATGTGCCTTTCTGCAATTATTTTGTTCCAAGTAGCTGTCCATTAGATATCAGTGTAACAATCATGAATGCAGATGTTTTGTTTACTGCACAGATTGTAGAGATGTTTAAACACAGATAGCAATGGGGCAATTTAGGTGGTCACAAGGGGCCCCATAAATAGTTTAGCTGTTTCCATTTAAAGTACACCTTTCATGTACATAGGCTGCCATTGCTGACCTCCTTCTAAAAATTTTTATTTAGCAGGCTTTGTCTGTACCTTTGCATCACAGACTAGAAATAAGCATGCTGTAAATGTGAATAGTGGCAGAAAAGTGCCAGAATTCCTTATCTCTAGATTTGCTCCATGGCAAAGCTTTAAAGCCAGTGCATCAGCTTGACAACCAGCAGACTAGAAGTCTCCAAAGGAGGGGTTAGCAAGGGCAGCTGACATAACAGGTGTACTTTTGAAAACTGGCACAAGGAGGAAAAAAAATATCTAGGACGTTTTTTTCACTGAACTTATGGAGATGTCCTTTGATTACATGGGCTGTAAAAATTATATTTAGTAGACATGTGCACTGCCAAAAAATTTGTTTCGTTTTGTTTCGTTTTAAATTCGGATTTGTGTTATTTCGTTTTTCAGGATTCGGGTGTGAAAGTCAATTCGGATTCGGAATTCGGATTCGGACGAAATTCGGTAGCGTTAGTACGAACGTTCGTTTCGTTTTCTGTTCTTATTCGTTTCTTATTCGTTTCGTTCGTTTGCAGCAAAAGTGACATTTGAGGGGGAAAAAATATTTTTCTCCTATATTTTTATATTTAAAATGTTTTAATTTTAATTATATATTTCCAAATATTGTGAAGTATGCTATAGTATCCTAATAAGGAGTAAAACAAAGTAAATAAAGCCATAAGGAGAAATACATTGTAAGACAATATAGCACAAAACAACATACGATTGTGGTTCTAGACACTCCCTTTCTGAGCCTGTCTTCTGTAATTGTTGTCTTTACTACCCTTTGCTATCTGTCACTAACAAGCAATCAGGAGTGTAAAAGTCTCACCAAGAAACATTTGGAATGGAAGTGTACAATGAGAATTTGCTTAAAGCAGGAGACATTTTGAACCACTATGAGGCAGGATCAAAGAGTGACTTCATGCAGATGTAACCCAACATTGTTGTGTTGCTGGTTGCTGGTAGATTGACCTAAACTGATCACAATGAAAAGAGAGAAAGCCCACTTAGGAAGAAATTATTGCATAAATACTGTAGGAAGTAGCACACTTCAGTTTCAACTAAAGAGATACTTGGGGTATGGAGAATTGAATATACTGTATCTGAAGAGTAGTATAAGAACCTCAACAACGAGAAAATATTTAAACACATAAGAATACTACTGATTTTATTTATTAAGCTACTGAAATAACTGTTATAAAATAAAAGGTGTTGAGAATGCTGTTATTGTTTAGAATGCATGATAGACAATGATTATCATTATTATTGTTTTATTAAGTGCAAATATTTTATACACATTTATTTTTATTAAATGCAGAGGATGTTTTCTTGATGCACACCAGAGATGGTAAAAACCCTGAAGTATTTGCTCTGTTCAGTACCACAAGGTAAGAATTATATATGCCAGAATTGTAAAGTACAGTTGAGGGAAATTGTATGGCCTGCTCAGGTATATGACTGCAGTGAAGTTCCCACTATATTGTTAATGGTATTTTTATCTTTGTTCATAGTTGAAATAAAAATGTAATATTTTGGGGCACCAAAACTGCATTCACATTTGTTTTTATATGTTTTTGCTTGTATAAACTACTGTAACATAGGCCTTTTGTACACTAAACAGCTTTCTCTACCACTACTTTTATTTCATACCTGATTTGGTAAGTAAGTTTGTATTATGGCATGGTACTTCACAGTTGTTTGGGTGCATCCATTTTTGATTGCAAGTAATTTATCCTACCTGAAAACTAATTTAACACTCCTGCTAAGACCTAATGCTAAATCGACAAGTTGTGGTTTACCAAAACCTAATCTATATGCTTAACCCTTAACTTCACCTTATCTTAATACCCACTTCTAAATCTCAGCCTAACCATTTACTATAACCAGTAATATAAGCTGAAATACAACAGGGTGACAACATTATTTTCACCAAATAATGTTGCATCATTATCGATCTACTATGTCACAAGTTTGAGGACAGGATATGCTGAAGATATAAAGTTCTAAAAAGATGTAAGAAGTATGTTTTAAATTGCTTTTGCTGAAGGGTGTTATCATCACTGAATAAGTAACCCAAACATGGAAACTTTGGGGTCTATTCACAAAGCTGCCGAAGGATCTGGCCGTAGCTTCGGCCGATCCTGCGGCTAGCTTCGGCCCCAGGACCTCTTCGGTTCAGTAGAACCGAGGGGGTGCTGTACGGGCTATTCACAATAGCCCGTACAGCTCCCGATCACAGCCGAGCAGTGAAGCAAGCCGATCTACGGCTGATTTCAGCCGATGTACGGCTGAAATCAGCCGTACTAGCCTGAAGTGAATAGCCGAACAGTGTTCGGCTCACTTCACTTCTGATCGGTCATTCACTCGGCTGCCCTCGGCAGCTTCGTGAATAGACCCCTTTGTGTTTATTCTATAAGCTGCTAAATTATATAAATACATGGCCTGCTTTTAAAGTCAACAGGAGATGGCACTGAGAATGTATGAAACATCGCCAAGCTTATTAATGGGCTTTTGTATCTAATCATCCATAAGCATCTAATTGCTAATATGCAATTATGAGTATCTAATATGTATGTGCCCAAGTAATTTTCTAGCATACTGAATGTAAACCATGTCACTTATAGGCTGGTTGCAAACATTCTCCATGTAGCTAAACTGGGTAGAATGGTACAGTAGTATGACATTTAAATATGTTTTATAAGTATGCCTAATTTTCTACTCCTGGTTTAGAAGTAAAGCCTTTCTTCCTGCTATTTAGCCAATTCCAATATTCCAATTTGCTGTTACTTTACATCCGTTGTACATTTTTTCTGTTTCTTTGTCTGTATATGGTCCTTATGTATTCTTTCTTGATTTAGTTTAACTGATTAGTGATTCCAAAAGTACTCATATAAAAACAAGATGGTTACAAAAGATCTTGTCTAATGTTCGTTTGACAAGATCTATGAGCATTCACATTTCACTGAGTGATCATATACTGTCAGTGACATCTGCATGTCCTGGTAGGCCATTAACCAACTTCTATTATAAATAGCTAGAACACACCTTTTAATATCTTGCTAAGAGCTGATCTCTGCATTGCACACAAATTCAGTCAGATGTTCATCCACAATAATCCTAATTTATTATATCAAATAATCTGCATAAATGTGTGTGCATACCTTGCGGCTATTATATTTGTTTAATTACATGTGATGCCTTTTTGGTCTTGACTTGTTGATGTTCATGTTTACTCCTCAGTTTTCTGAGGTTTCTACATATATATAGTATTTTTGTGTTAAATATTTTTTTTTAATGCATTTGTTTTTGTTTTTCAGTAATATTTTTAAAGGCTATGCTGTTTGTGTTTACCACATGGCTAGTATACGTGAAGCATTTAATGGTCCGTATGCCCACAAGGAAGGACCAGAGTATCATTGGTCAATGTATGAAGGCAGAGTACCTTATCCAAGGCCTGGCTCAGTGAGTTTTTTGTCATTAACGTACAAGTGAAATGCTCCTGAATGACATCCAGTGCACAAGTGTCATAAAGTAATCCAAGAAACTGTCCCTGACTGAGACAAATCCTGCATAATTTGTGCATACCCCCTCAAAAAATCAATCCCCACCACCACCACCACCACCACCACCACCACCTTCTTCAGGATCACAGAATGTTGTGCTTGGCAAGGGCTCCTGTCAGCTGGCAAAACACAAGTTCAAAGAGAAAAAGCCGACACACATCCACAGATCCTCACTTCCTTATGAAAAGATTATTGATTAAAAAGACATATACATTCAAATATGACAAGATGGCATAGTGCACTGTGATAGTTAGCGACAGAGGGCTTTCCTGGTCCAGAGCCATGCCACAGCCTTTGGTGTGACCAGCCACTGAAGACTCACTTTAGGAGTTAGCCTATGGTTTTGGTGCAGATAAACCTGGGAAGTCATGTTCAGGCACTAAGCTCAGTATTGTTATGCTTTCCAGACCTTGAGTTCTGTCTCAGTCAGCCACAGAGCATAGTCTCCAAGTCCAGAGCCATGGCATAAACACTGGTGTGACCCAGTGTCTAAATATCAACTTGGTGAGCCAGCCCTTCAGGCTTAAACACAAGCTCAGAATAGCTTTGAAATCCTTACCCACTCCTAACTGAACTGCTCTTTTGCAGGTTATTATGGTCTGAGACCTTCAATCATTCAGCTCTGCATTATAGCACTATCCAGACCTCTGTGTATGGTGTTAGTAAGGTACAGGACACTCTACTAGTCTAGAGCTGTGGCACAGCCCATACTGTGACCTAGTCTCCTCAGACTCATCTAATGAATAAAACCATCTAGCTGAGTGGATTGAGTGAAGAGAAGTGTGACACATGTGGGATTCCCGTCCTTTCTTTTGTCTTTTCAGTCTGGAAGAAGTACTGTTCTGTTAAGACTCCTGTTTCAATATCTGGTTTCACTGCCTGCCTATAGGGTTTAAATCACCTATAGTTCCTTGCTTTCTGTAACTTGCATTAAGCATCTTTAATTTACCTTTTTCTGGCATTTTTGCACTGCTGTGTCTTTGTTGACAGCATTGCTTGGGTATTTTGTGCCTGGATGGAAATCCACACTTGAGTGTCCTGTCCTGCTTACTCCTGAAACCCTCTCTGCTGTGGATTACTTACCCCTTGGTGGGTTTCTACTCCTTATAATTCTTGATTTTCTTTTAAGCCCTCTCTCTGTCTGTAGGGATTTCCTAACTTCCTAATAAACATGAATCATTTTTAAATACTTCGGTAATTTCTACTTCATACAATGGTACAGAACATTATGTTAATCCCTAGTGCCTTCTACTCCTCTCCCCTCCGTGGAATTACCTACATATTTTAACTGTAAAATGTGTCCTACATCCTCACAGGTTCTTGCAATAGGATTCTAAAAATGTTATCTTATTTGGATATATCCCATGCCATCTTTCTCTTGAAAGAATATATGGGATTATCTGAAAAATCATTTTCAATAGTTACCAGTAAAATTGCTGATATTTCCTTATACTGAGGACTATCCCTTTCCTCTCCCTAAGAATAATACTCATCCAGCCTGCTTTTTCAAAGCAGTCTATTTTCATATTCTCCGATATTTTTTTACATTTGATCATTGGGAGTCTTTTGCAAGGTAGATTGGTTAACTATCTATCCTGTACCTCCCTAAAAGTAAAAAAAATAATATTCTTTATTATTCCATAATCGTTTCCCTTACTGGTATATATTGTAAACCAGTAGTCTTAGAGGGACCTGATTCCTTTGCCATACTAATTCCATAGTAATTTATGACAGTCCAAAATGTATTTATTCTTAGAACCATATATTTTGTACTCAGTCAGGCAAGGTTTAATATAGTTAACATATTTCTTACTATTTTGTATATAAGCAGCATGGGGTTTCTCTCATCTCTCTGCTATTTTTGTTCAGCTATTGGCATTATAATTTAACTTAAGCCTGCCTACTTCCAGTGTTTTTTATCACCCCACTGTCTCCTTTTTAAGGATAGTGGGTTGCTATCCTTCTTTTCTTACTCTAGCCCCATTTTAATTTTCTGTTCAGAAAATATATCCCATATATCCATAAATATCTCTTTGAGAGATTACATCCTCTCTGTGTGTAATATAGACCTCCCTTGTCCATATGGCAAGCTTTAAAGATATCTTATCTAAGGTTCTAACTATTATATAGTTGGTTAATATTTTGATGTACATAGCATTGCTTCTTCAAGTACTGGTTCATGCCTGCAGTTTGTCTCTACATATAAATATAAAAATAAAGAAAATAAGATTGTGTTCAACGTAAAATATTTTGCTTGGAGTTCATTGATAAACACAGGTCCTGCTCCTCTGTGATTTTGGCCTTATGTACTGCTTGCTCACAAAACTAAGGCAGGATGGTTGAAGGTGGGGGCTGTCTTAACATTTTTTGTTTTTTCCAGTGGCCAAACCTGCTGCAGGTGGCAATATAACGCACATGTCATGGAGTGTCCTACAATTCTGTGTCTCTAAAAGAATTTCAAGTAAAATATTTGATTGTATGCACAACAATCTATTTTTTTAATGGGAGGCCATCGTTCTACTTTAAGTATTTTAAGCTTATTCAAGATAATGTATTTTGAACTAAATTCACAAAAGACATGTTACCTGCCAAAAATAACTACCAGCCTTCTGCAATCATTTTATGCTATTTCTTTGTGCCTCCAGCTGAGCTAAATTATTCAGTGTGGAACGGTGTGACACATCAAACTAATGCAATGCCAAGCAGCAATCAAATTGCATGTGACTACTAATTAAGACATGGAATCTCACTAAGGAACAGTCTCTGTGTTGGATGCATGAAGTTCTAAACTTGGAAATATTAATGTGATTGTTTGAGGGAATGAATATGTAATTACCCAAGTATTGACAGAACACATTGCACTAGCCCTTGGTGGGAGTTCAACTTGCGGCTCCTATGATCTACAGGTCATATAAGTAATATATAATTGTAAGTGATTTCAAAGCATCAGCTGTCAGGTGTTTGGTGTGAATGTCTGATGTAAAATTATACATTTGAAAAAAAACTAAGTAATATTATATTTAAAATACATATTTGATATTTCTTTTAGCACTAATCTGGATTTCTGTCTAATAATTCTTATCTAGACTTTCAAAAATAGTTAGACAATAGGACATTTTAAAAACTTTTTGAATCCTTGATAAAGTTTGTCAATCCTCGATAAATTTGGAATTTTCCAAATGTATCTGTTCTTCTACTTTGCTTACATCTCTGTCCAAAAATCTAAACCAGAATGATGAACTACAACTGCCCCAACAATGTAGTAAATATTTAACAATAATGAAAAACACCATCAAAAAGTAAATTAAAGAAAATAATAACAGAGCTATGTCACTTTAAAAGATAAACTGGGAAGGGGGGCATGGGTGTTTTTTTTACTGTTTTATTCATGGAGGAATACAAAGCAGAGTGCAAATGTACTAGAAAACAATTTTAGTTTAAAATATTCAATATATATACATTATGAATATATTGATACACTATGGGGTCTATTCACAAAATGGTGAAGAGTGTTTGTTCTCTTCTCCTGTCTTCTCCAAACTCTTCACCCTTTTGTGAAAAGACCCCTATAGCTGTATGTTTTTACTTAAACATTTAAAATATATAATGCTCTGCTTATGTACCAATTCCGAGCTACTTAACATATGGGTGATATTAAAAACAATTGCCATTTACCTTTCTGTGTTATTTGATTTCCAGTGTGCAAGCAAGGTAAATGGAGGTCATTATGGGACTACCAAGGATTATCCAGATGAGGCTTTACGCTTTGCTAGGAGTCACCCTCTGATGTATGAGATCATTAAGCCTGTCTATAAAAGGCCTATTCTTGTGAAGGTTGATGGAAAATACAACTTAAAACAGATTGCTGTAGACAGAGTGGAGGCAGAGGATGGTCAATATCATGTTATGTTTCTAGGAACAGGTAAAAGGCTTTTTATATATGGTGTTAATTGTTTATATTAATTAAAATTTTTAAAAGGCCTTTACATTTGTCATATTTAAAAAAAATAAAAAGTACATTAACAAATAAAAATGTATGCATGTAATAAACAAAAAAAAGTGTTTTATTTGTTTAAAGCTTATGAACTGATATTGTATATAATAAATTCTTGACATTACATTTCTATTTTACAAATAAACTTATGACCATCTTCTTTTTTTATGGCTGCCTGGGTAAACTACCAAGTTAAGATATTGTGATTTGATTTATTAAAGGAGTAGAGGCTGTTCACCTTGCAAAGTGGTAAATATTTTGTTTTGAATATGCAATCATGTGCTAGAATAAATACTGTTTTTTAAATATTTTTATTGCACATTATTGGACATTTAAAGTTATTTTTTTTGCTAACTTTACAAAGTAAATATACACTTTGCTAGGTGAACTGCCTCTACTTCTATGGTAAATCAACCCCATTGTGCCATGTTTCCCTTCTATAGGTCCTTCAGAGGAGGGATACACCTCCTACTTTTCAGATATATTCACCACACAGCAGTAAATTAATGTTTAGAAAAGGTGAGAAGTAGCTAAAAGCTTGCTGGTTGTAATAATAATAGCTAAAGCAGTGTTTCTACCAGCCCAGCTAGTTTGTGTCTGTGTCTGTGTGTATGTGTGTGTGTTTCAAGTAACTGCCCATCTTAACTCAGTCAATTAGTAATTTTAATAGTGTGCCTTCTGCTTTCCTCCCTAATGCTAGCAACAAAAGGAGCTGAAATACTTACATGCAGGTAGCACCAGCTCTGTCAGTTCCCTAGTGGTATGATTGTTCCTAAAAGCTCTCATTATACAGCCACGACAAATTTGGACCTGAGTAAGGATGAGACACTTATCAGTTGCTATTTAGTTCCTCTCTCAGTTATGTGATTGATCTCATGTTTAAAGATTACAAGCTATACAAAAGTCTGCCAGGTACTAGTACATTTATTTAAAGCAAAACCAACAGTTTATAGCTGGTCATTAACTGGAAATTCTTAATGCATGTCACTGAAGAATGTGCCGAATCATAATCCTATACAGGTGCTCTGAGATTTATTTTTCCATCAGATGACCAGTTGGGACTATTTACAGCACCTGTTATCAGGCTAAAGAATTAACATGACTAATAAAACATCTTAAAAACACAGTAATTTTATTTAAACATGTAACCCTGCAAAAAATGTATTTCATTTTGGATGGATTCGGATTTTTATTTTTTTCATTTTTCGGATTCCTGATCAGAAATTCAGTTCGTTATTTCGATTTTGTATCTGTCCGAATTTTTGTTTCAGAAAGATCCACAACAGGAAGTTACAACAGGTAGACCGTACCTGTAATGCAACCCCCAACAGAAAAAAAATCCATCCAGTTGGCCAGGGAAGTCATATGTCCGATTTAGTTTCATTTTGAACAAAATTCTGACAGATCCAAATTTTTTATTCACATTCGGACGCAGCTGAAAGTCTGAGTTTAACTAAATTCGTACAACAACCCATATAGAATACAACTAACTTTATGGGGGTTATTCACAAAGGAGCAGAAGGATCCAGCCATAGCTGCGGCTGATCCTTCAGCTCTCTTTGGCCGCTGGAGCCCATCGGTTCAGTCAAACTAAAGGGCTGCTGTAGGGGCTATTCACTATAGCCCGTACAGCCGCCGAAGGTGGCCAAGCAGCTCAGCTGAGCCGAAAGCATATGCTTTGGCAACCCTGAGCCAAAGTTACACCGGAAGCGAGGCGAACGACCTGCCGAAGGGCCTGCCATAAGCCCCGCAAATGACAGCTGCGTGGAGCCCAGTTCTTGCGGCTGGCTCCGCCCAGTTCTAATGACAGATCAGTGTGCCCAAATGACCTGGGGATGCTGATCTGTCATTAAACAATAACAACTGGGCAGAGGCAGTGCAGCCAAAGGCAGCCGATGTATGGCTGATTTCAGCCGATGCACTGCTGAAATGAGCTGTAGTGAATTGCCGAATGTTGTTCGGCTCACTTCACTTCGGCTGGGTTATTCACTCGGCTGCCTTCTGCAGCTTTGTGAATAACCCCTAATATGTCTACTTTCATTATTTACCTTTATTTATCTCATTTTATTACAGCTAAACATTTACAGTATGTAAAAGTATCTTTTTTAACTAAAGTTTTATAGTTAGCCATGATTCTTGCTCATGAGAGATTTTAGACCTGCAGTAGCTCAATCTGTATATGTGCCCTTGATCATGCTAAATAGATCTAACATTAATTTAATCACAATGTTCTCCTTTCCTCTATTTCATATACACTAGATAATGGAATTGTGCTAAAAGTTATTACCATCTACAATCAGGAAAAAGAAACTATGGAAGAAGTTATCCTTGAAGAACTTCGAATGTTTAAGGTATATTTTTGGCAACATGTATCACTTCCTCATTTTCTACCTAGGCTTTCCATCCTGTAAATTCATTATCAATTACTGATTTATAATTTACTATTGCCACTTTCAAAACACTTACTATATTCTATTCAAATTTGGACTTTTGGACTTTGGACTCCCTCTCAGGTTTTTTTTGTTTGCCATTTGTGTCTTTTCAGAGAGATTTTCCTCAACTTCCACACAACAGAAATTAATAGAAAATCTCTTCAAAGTGAGGGAAGTCACCTCTTACAGGGTTATTCACAACAGGGTGAAGAGTTTGGAGAAGGCAGGACAAGTGAACAAGCTAGGCCAAAATAGTCACAAAAACGTTCCCCCAAAAATTAGAAATCCCTTCTAAAAAGATTGGTTCAACACAGGTAAATCAAAATTATTGATACAATATTTAATAGTAGAAAAAGACATATACAATAAACTCATGTACCAGAGACATTTAAAAACACTTAAAACATTCCACGGGATATATCCTGCATGATTATAACAATTGTTGCCTAAAAACCACCTGTGTGGTAAAGGACCATCTATGCAGGTTTCTGGATGATTGAAGTACTTTTCAAAAGAAACAATGTATCTGAGAATGTACTCACATATGTTGCAGTTCAAAGAGCTCGAGGGAAAATGAACCTGCTAGAATCCTGTGTGTAAAGATGGAAGAAAGACTTCGGGAGAGGTGTCCAGTATAAGACGATATTACTGTCAAAGAATGTAGCTCCTCAATACAAGCAGGAGCTGCGGATGCCCCTCTCACAGCACTTTCCAAAGGCACAAGATACTCCGTGGGTTTCAGTGAATGAAATGGAAGCGTCTTCTAAGATTTTGGTCTTTCGTGTGCGGCCGCACTGTGCAGAAAAAGAGAAAGACTACTTGACACTCCACGGTAAGATGCGCCTGGCAAGATAGGAGCCAGGAATTTACCCGTAAGGCCAAAATAGCCGGTTTGGAAAAATTCTCCAATTCAGCTCACTTTCCAGTTCAGCTATGTTGTCCTAGATTGTTCACTTCTCCAAACTCTTCACCCTTTTGTGAATAGCCCTATTAGACAAATGTCACCAGAACAAGTGTCCCCATTGGAGGATTTCCCATTACTTCTTGCTTTGGTGTCAACTTAAAATTTTGGATTTTTCATTACTTTCTGTCTCAGTGACAATGGACACCAGGACAAATACAGAGAAACAATCTCCATAATGGGGCTATAGACAGCATTAAAAACCTGACAGGGGTTCTAATCCTTCCACACTCCATCCAAGAAAAAAAGGTTTTGGCCTTACATACACTAATATTTTTCATATACAGTTTCAAAGCCTCTATAACAATTCTTTTTTTTTACTATTCTATGAGCAGTACAAATGACATACGTGCTCAGTGGAAGTCCAATAAAAAAATTCTTGTTTTAGAGCAAGCAATATAAAAAACCTGTGTCAGAGGTGTATCTACATTTTATTTCAACATTCAGCATTTTTTATGCGACAGGAGGTTAACTGAAAAATCTCCCTAAGGACTTATTTTCACCATGTAGAGTGCGTTTTTCCTCACCAGATCAATGCAGGTCTCATTAAGGGCACATAGACAACAATGTTTTTCTATGTGCCTCACTCACACCACAACACTGTGGAAATGTAAGCTGCAGTAAGTTGCATTAAAATGCAGCATGCATGCATAGAAATGCATGTAAATGCAATGCAATCCACAGCAACTGAAGGGAAGAAAAAAATTGGCTCAGCTATTTTGACCCATCCAGGGACCTGTCATGTAGCCATCTTTGATGGCACGTTGTGGCTGAGGAGAGCAGTGTGTCTGTTTTTTTGGCTAGTATTTCCTTTCCCATACAAACATGACAGACTTGACTGATATAAAACATATTGCGAGACTGGTTGTGCAATATAAGGAGCTGAATGACCTTAAAAAAACCTTTAAAAAATACAAAGACAATAGAATGAACGTCCTAATTTGGCTATAGATTGCAGAGATCTATGCAAATCTTGGATCGTAATCTGGAATCTGAAACAGACTGAAAAATCTCTAGACAACAGATGGCATGAAAACACATTGTGGTGTGCCTGTATGTGCATTATGATGTAAAAGGTACATAACAGATTTTTTTGGGTAGAGTGTGCAGGCAAAGCAGATGAGAACCTCTTCAATATTTTTAGATATGCTTAGCGAGTACCTGGTCAGACAGGTAACACATTTTGGTATCTGGTTTGGTAACACATCTGTTTCTGGACAGATTTTGTACTGCAGTACCAAATTTCATTCTGGGATCCACCATATTGGATTTTTCTGAGTCCAGGGTGAGAGCAGCAGCAACTCCAACTCAATGCAACTTACAAAAAACTTTTTGACTATTTTCTTTCATTTTGGAGTTCTCATAAAATAAAAAGCAACAGACCAAACCCCTGCTGGTGTTAGCAGATTTTCTGCAGAGTTATAAACTGTTCTGGTGCACTCACATGTGATAGATTTTCTTTACAAAGATGATGCATTTAACACAGTGCAATCCATAATGTTCTCCCCATACTCTAGACCTGGTCATTGTAACAGTCCATCTTTACAGTACAATCACTAGATATTAGACTGACATCTGATACAGCATCAGTCAAATTGCTATAATGAATCTCTCTGTCATCCACCCTCACTCTTATTGATCTGTTTTTCCACAGAATCCTGAACCTATAACTGCAATGGAAATTTCAGCTAAAAGGGTATGTTTTCAAAACCTATTTATATCACACAAAATATCATTTGAAAATGATTTAAATATTTGTTTTGAAAAAGAAACTATATTGTCTTAAGGGACCGTAATATACAGGGGTACGGGTACTCCTAGAATGAGATCCTAATAGGTTGGACTTGATGGACTAATGTATTTATTCAACCTCAAATACTATGTAACTATGTAACTATGTGTGTTTGGTAGGGAAATTACTGGCAATTCATAGGTATTAGCCCCAAAGTAATTAATAAAGAAAATGTTCACAACTAGAATGAAGCTATGCCTAATACACATTTGGATAAGTCCATTTTATTGATTTAGCTTCTAAACAGGAAAATAAACTCCTCTGCTGAAAAAGCTACGTAAGCCTTACAAATTGATTTACAAAAAAAACAAACTATTTTAGTTGCATCTGTTTATCAAATTTAAACAGAGCAAAGGACCAAGCAACTCATCCTTTGTGAAGAAAGCTTTTATTAATTCAAAAGTAAATAGACAGGTACTTACTAGATTAGTATATATGAATGTGCATTAATAAAACTGGACCATGTCAGGCATAAAGCCACTCCATTGCTACAGTCATCACACCGCATTTCTCCAAACACTGGCCAGCAGTGTGTGACAAGGGTAAAGACTAATGTGTTTATGGGGCTATGTCCCCTACTAAGCTTATGAACACCTTTCTGTTTACTTTTGAATTACCAAGGCTCACTTCAAGAGGACAAGGCACCTTGTGCTTTTCTCGGTTTATGTGCAATAGACTTCCCCCCTGCTTTTGACATGAGCTGCCTGTCCTCAGTGGGGCTTTTGGAATATTTATGGTGGTGCAGTGTGGTTATGTGCATGAAGGTTGGCATTTGCCAGCTTCAAAGATATTCGAATGGGGTGTATCAACTGTATGACAATTTAAATACCATTAAAATCTATACTAATGATAAATGTGATCACTAAAATCGAATGTAAGCTTGTATATGTTAATGTCCTTTCAAAAATGTTTCAATATTTATACATTATTCAGCTTTCATTAAAAGAGTATCTGGTAAAGCTGTAATGCAGGTCCTTGTTCAAGCACTTTCTAGTGTTTCTTAATTTTTCTCTTCTCTTCACTGGTGGAGAAAACAATTGTGCCAACACACAATGCATAGCCTTGGTCTTCATTTTCATTTCAGGAAGCCAGTTCTGAGCAATGATGTGCAGCTGATGTTGGAGCAGGTGAAGGCCAGGAGCACTGACTTTGCTGGCTGCACACTTGTTTGGACTCAGTGGGATTGATTTACTAAAGGCAAATAGACTGTTCATTTTGCAGGGGAAATTTCCCTTAGCGTTGTGAATGAGGTGATGCTCTGCAGACTTCCATCATCAAATCATGTGCAAGCAAAAATACAGTTTTTTTTATTTTCCATGCATGTGATTGGGTATTCTTTTTGAAGTGAACATTCACTACATACAAAGGGTTACCTTTGTAGAGTGAACAGCCTGCTTGCCTTCAGCAAATCAAACCCAGTGAATTAATAGACTTGCAGGTCTCCCTGGAGCCACCCTGATGTGCGCACTCCCAGATGTGTGCTTCTTATTCTGTGAGCCCTTGGACGCTGTGCATAGGACACTCATGCAGCGTGTGGCAAGGGTCCCACTCAAGTGCCGTACATAGGGCCAAGCATTCACAGTTTGGATGGGTGGGCAAGGAATTATGGGACATGTCGTTTCAAACACACTGCGCTCTCCTGAACAGAAGTTAGCATGATGTGCAGTAGAAAGAGACCAGGCCGGAAGAGTTTCCAAATGCAAAAGGTATGTTTTGCTGGATAGCAAAGGGACATACATTTGTTTAAAATTTAGTTACATAGAGTTAGAGTCAAACACTACTTTTTTTTTTTTTAAAGAGTGGTTTCAGAATCAAGTGTACTGTAATTGTCAATATTAACACTATATTTTTTTTAATTAAAATTGACCTTGATTTTTTAATGGAACAGTAATTAGTTTCTGGATTTTTCATTTTCAGCAACAGCTGTATGTTGGATCTAAATTTAATATAGCTCAAGTAAAGCTCCACCATTGTGAGATGTATGGCACAGCATGTGCAGACTGTTGTCTGGCTCGTGACCCGTATTGTGCATGGGATGGAATGTCCTGCTCCAGGTATTATCCCCTAGGTACACATTCAAAAAGGTGGGTAACTGAGTACAAGTAAGTATAAATATTAACTATAGAATGTTAATGATTAAAACATTTTTTGTACTGTTTAACCAATAAAGTAGTGAGAAGCCTGCCGGAGGTTCGGCTCAGCCGAACCAAATGTTGGATCGGCTGAGTCAAACTCCTTCTGCACTTCAGGTCAGCCGAACATGCTGAGCATGTTCGGCCGACCCGAAGCCACTCGAAGCAAGCCGATGTACGGCTGATTTCAGCCGATGTACGGCAGCTTGGTGAATAGACCCCTTATTGTTTTGCTACATCAATGTTCAATAACAAACTACAGTAACTGATTGTATTTGAGAAAATAACAGGCAGATATTTTTCTTTAACCTTTTCGCTACCAGAGTGTTTTTTGAGCACATGCTATAATCCACATTTCAAGGACTGAAAATGACGTTGCATCATATTAGTGCAACTCTTTATCAAACCCAAAATTTCAGTAACAAATACACTTAAGTTAATTTTAGTGCACAAAAACACAATACAATAACTATTTTTTTGTAAAATATAAAAGATGAGGATGTGCCAACTCCTGTTCACTGGAGCGGGGACTTTAACTTTTTTGGGGTGTTTTTACATTTATTTTCTTTAACTTTTTTTTTTTTTACTTTTGTACTTAACAATATTGCTATCACATAGGGGTGAAAGTGGGATTCTTTTAGATCCCCAATAGTACTTTATACTTCACCTCTTGTACTTCAAAGAAGCTGTTGAGCAGCTTCTTTCCCAGCTTCTCTAGTTGGGGAATGACAGCTGAGAAGCTGAAAGTGATGTATCAGCGTCACTTTCAGCTTCATTCAGCGGGTTAGAGATTGTGGAAAAGACATTAGTTGGTTTCTCTGCCAGCTTTCTGCCAACACCCACAATGCCAGCTCTGGGCATGCAGGATGGGCAGCGGAGCACATGAAGCAAGCGGGGTGCCAGGTGGTAGGAGACCAGTCAGCCGACCCGCGGAAGTGATCTGCTGGCAGATCAGCCACCAGAATTGCTTCCAGTATAAAGCCAACAGTTCACTTTACACAGGTAAACAGAGTCCCGGTGGTCTGTTTACAGGGGTCTGTTTCCAGCCAGTGCCATAAGGGAAACTGCACTGTTGGTAAAAGGGTTAAAGTGTATGTGTGCTCTGACAATACACTTTTCTTATCAGCTACCTTTTGGTATGCCAAATATACCACATAAAGCATTTTGTTATATCTGTTCAATAAATGCAAAAATGCCTGTTCATCTTGTCAAAGATTCAAAACTGCCCTGTGTCCTGTCACACTTTCTGTGTGTCTAATTGGCCCTTCTAGTTCTTTTCTTGGACTACGAAATAATTTTTTCCTATGTTGTAGCAAATGGGTTAAGGGCAGGATTAGGGTAGTTTAGCAAAAGGTAGCTTGGCAGGACTTACACCACTCAGTCTACAAACATGCTGTGTGCTTTAAGCCAACAGGAATTAGGAGTACATTTCTGGCAGATCAACAGGTATTTTTCTGTAATGTGCATTATTACAGATGTGTTTTTATACTTTTTTTTCTCCTGACATAAACTTTAATTCACAGGTATTTAAATTGCATGTTGCATGTTTTATTTTGTCAACCCTAATTTACTTTAAGAAACTGAACCAATTTTCTTGGGACAGAGTCCTTACCAAATTGAATACACAAAACTAAAAATAAAAATCTGTAACATATACAGGGATTATATGTATACAATAGGATTTACTCTCAGCTATTAATAGAGCTTCTAATTAAAAGCACATGAGCTAGTTTGTGAATTAGTCATAATCATGCCAATTGCAGCTGAGCTCTTGGAGCACTTAGACTAATATGCCCATATGAAGTATGTACATATAGCTTACACTCTAGTACATAATGATGTACTGATAAATAATTTATACTTTTGGCAGACGTTTCAGAAGACAGGATGTTCGACACGGCAATGCAGCTCAGCAGTGTTCAGGTCAACAGTTTAATGGTAGGTGAATATGCATTCAGTATACATATGTATACATTTTAAAGTTACATGGTATTGGGGTTGTTTCTGTGAAACTCCACACTATCAAGTGTTTTGATTTATGTTCATCATTTAAAAGTCATAAATGATTAGGACTGGTGCTAACTATGGGGTCTACTCACTAAGCTGCCGTAGGCAGCCGAGTGAATGACCGACCTAAAGCGAAGTGAGCCGAACGCTGTTCAGCTATTCACTTCAGGCTGGTACGGCTTATTTTAGCCGTATATCGTCTGAAATCAGTCGTACATCGGTTGGCTTCGCGTGGCTTCGGGTCGGCCGAACATACTCAGCATGTTCGGCCAACCCGAAGTGCAGAAGGAGTTTTTTCATCAACATCTGGATCGGCTGAGCTGAAACTCCGACAGGCTTCTCACTGCTGTTCGGTCTATTCTCATAGATGCCGAATAGCAGTGAGTGAAATAGAAAACGATTGTGCGAAGCTAGCAATGACAGCTAGTTCCACCCAACAGTTTTCTATTGGCCGGCAGTTCTGCTGCTGTCAAAAAAAAAAGAAAGCCTAACTCTACTGGGCGCTCCGGGAGTCTCCCGCTCCCGGCCTCCAAGGAGAGAAACACTGCTTTTTCTTTTTTTTTCTTATTCTGACACGGAGCCGTGTCAGAATAGAAAAAGACACATTTTTGGCCATTTTTTTTGGCCATATGCATTGCTAGATTCCTATTGGCTATTTCAATTTGAAATAGTCAATAGCAGACTAGCATTGTATCCGCCCTCTACGGCCAAAAATGTTTTTTTTCTATTCTATCAGCCCTTCGGTTCTACTAAACCGAAGGGGTCCTGGGGCCGAAGCTAGTCCAAGGATCGGCCAAAGCTACGGCTAGATCCTACGGCTGCTTCGTGAATAGACCCCTATGTGATGTTGCTTTTTGCCCTAATGAAAGTGAAATCATATTTTTCCTGTACAGGTCTTCCTTGCCCTCTATAAATTGTGCAACTAAAAAATAAAATAAGAAATCCAAAAGCAAATTGGCAATTTACAGATCTATGGAACCATGAGCTCAGAGTTTCCTAAAGTTACCACTGGACATGTACATGCTAAGGAGGGGGGACCAAAGAGGAAATTGTTTTTTTTTACTGCAGTTCCCTTTTAAGCCCAATCAGATATTAGAAGGTCCTATTTTTTTTATACAGAGTGGGGAAGTATTTATAATTTACAAAAATCAGATCTACCCTAAGAAACACAAAGAGGAAAATTGTATGGCTTACAATTTTAAATACGAAGTTATAACTGTATATATGTACATAAAGTTTAAAATGTATGCCTGATGATGATGGCAGTTTAACTGTAAATGGTTATAAGCAGATACAGCAGATTTCCAAGTAAGGTGGCAATAATCGTATACACTGCCTAGCAGTTCACTCTTATCTAGATATTCAGAAACATCTATATTGTCACGGTCTAGGGACCAGGGCACTAGGGTACGTGAGCTCCTGTGTTTGCGGAGTTGGTAGGAGTCACAAAGAGGCGGGATATCGGGGATGTAGGTCACAGGGAGAGAGGAACGAATGGTCTGTGCATTCTGAGGACGCACTAGAGGCGCAGAATCTAAGAAGGGCCAGGTATTTGACAGAGCCTCTAGGATGATTGGCTGCTGGACACCTTCCAGGTTGCGGCCCTCTAGCGCACCCACACAGACGCAAGGGACTAGTTGAAGCAGCGGGGAACTGGATACAAACAGGTAGGGAAGAAACTTGTAACCAAGGAGGAGGAAGACAGGAAGAGGGAGAGAGAGAGAGAGAAAGTCTCAAGCAAAAGTGCAACCGCACAGCAGAACAGCAGAGTATACTGAAGAGAATAGATAAGCAAGGACACCAGGGAAGGGTAAGCAGCTTAGAGGCACACCTAGGAGCAGGAAGGTGCAACGTACAAAAGTAAACGAGATGTGCGTGGCACATGCATACAAAGAAGCAGGATAACAGAGAGAAAAGTACACAAAGAAGCACAAAAGGGATGTATGCACACAGGGGGTGTGCAGACAAGGATGAATCCAACACAGCCACCAGGTAAGAGAGGAGCACAGAAATAAAGGGGTGACAGCAAAGCAAAGGAAGATACACTGGAAGGTAAGTGACGGAGTAGAAGTACAACAAGCAGTAAATAGGAGGAAGCAAACAGACAAAGACTGGAGAGGGAAAACACAGTAGAAGTAAGGCAATGAAGGCAGTTTGGAGAGGCGCACAGGTGAAGGCAATTAAGGCCTGCAACAATATACTGAAGGAACCACTGAAATACTATAGTAGGGGTGCAGAGAGCAAAGCAGGGGATAACGCCAAACAGGGATACCAGCTGGTAGAGGGAAGCCAAAAGGCACAGGGATCCAATAGCAAGCGCAGGGAATAGGATCCCAGGGGTAGTCAGAGACACAAGGGGTACGGAACAAGGCATAAGACTTGTTGCTCGCACCAAGAGCAACAAGTGAGGAAGTCCTAAATAGGGGAGAAGGAGAGCAGATTGGCTGCAGCCTTGTGAGACACCATAGGCTGACAGCCCAGAAAGGGAGCAAAGCGAAAAACAAAGTTCAGGATGTTTTGCAGGACACATTGTTGGAGAATAAGCCAATAGGGATGATTGTAAATGGTAGGCCCATAAAGGATGCATGTTAATTTAAAATAACCAGTCACCTTTCTTTTAAAGGTGGAGTACTTATCCTTACCTTATCACTTGTTTAGTCTGTTTGGGACATCTAAAAATGTGCATGCTTGTTCCAGGTCAGTAAGTAGTAAAGCAAGCATAATTACTACAGCACTGGAGCTTGTATCTACAATAACAAGTAAGCAGTTGCAGCTCATATATTCAATGCTGACAATGTCCTTTTAACATGCAGACTTGTGCATAGGGCAGACAGCAGTCTCATCTATAGGCTCCAAATCATTCATTGGCAATTTTAGAGAAGACTGCATCCTGTGCGGAAGGTCTCTTTTAAAGGAACATTTCATCTGCAAAGCCCTCTTGTAAATATGACCCAAGACTGAGCCTGTGCTTGCCTTTGGCTGTCAGGTGCTATTGAAGGCTACGGAGGGGCTCATTCCCACCTTTTATGATGAAACAAAGCAAAGAACATAGGCACACTCCATTTTCCAGCACCTATAAGGCTTCTGTACTTGACAGCACATTGTCCTAGAAGGACTTCACTCGCTGACAACCTGTACACTTATATATATATGTTGCCATGAAAAAGAATTGCCAATCATTGTACTGTAAGGAATTGTACACAGCAAAGATTGTAATGGTTGTATACTCAGAATGTTATCATTCATATTGTTTAACTACATACATGAAAACAGGAAAGTATATTGACTTTAGTAATTTGGAGGACCATCTCTTCCTATCATTCTTATAGGAGAATCTTTGACAAAGACTGAGGAGTACACAGTATACGGTGTCGAGCATAACACTACCTTATTAGAATGCATGCCACGTTCATTGCAGTCTAAAGTCATCTGGTTTGTACAGAAAGCACATGAGACAAAGAAAGAGGAGGTAATACAATTTTTATATGTATAAAGTGCATCTCAAACAAAAGTTTTGTTTTATAGTCTGACTTAATATTAACGAAAATTAAATGTGTCAGTTCACGTTTAATGATTTGATAAACCAGTGTTTTTCTCACTTTACTTCTGCTGTCTTGTAAGACAAGCTCATTTGTAGAACTATGAATGAAATGTGTAAATTCCACTCACCTCAATTTTTCCTGCTACGTAACCTGTTGCAAGTTTCATTTCTTGGACCTGTGAGCAGTTACGGCATCCTTTGTATGCTATATGATGGTCCTAGATAGAAGGCTAGGTAGCAATATGAAAGATATGAAAGTGGATTGTTTCTGGAGTTTTAAGAGACTGATCAGGGCACTGGAAACACAAAGGGTAATGTTTCCTAAAGTAAAAGTATAGTGCATTATCAGCAAGGACATAATTTGAGTTTACTTTTTTTGTGACTTCAACATTGGAATATGCTTTCTCTTCAATATTTTTTTTGATAAGCCACTAAAGTGTTTGTGCCTTTACTTTACCAAAGTTGAGAGAAAATATTTCCTTTGGTGAATATCTATGGTAAATCATAGACTTGCACTGTGAGAAGAAACAGTAAAGAACCACTGAAAACACTACAAAACAGGAAGCAGGACCTGTGTATGCAGGGAGTAAAGCTGGCCATACATTCTGCCAATTTCGGACGGTTCTTCAGGAAATTTGCACAGTGGTTCCAGCTGTTGGCACCCTTTTGGTCGGCATCCTGATCAGGTGATCGAAGAAGCCATTCTGAAAATCTTCTAATGAATAGAGCCAGCAGTCAATGTGCTGCCAGCTCTATTTCTGTACTCTACCAGCAGCAGGGCAAAGAGCTCTTAAGCGCTGATGAAAGAATCTGTTCTAATTTTTTCGTTCAGCCCATGGGTTGAATGAAAAAAATAGAACAGTGTATGGCCAGCTTAAGTTTGGTCCACTGTTTAAGATTATTTTCATCAAACCAATCCCAAAAAAATATACACCACCCCTATACATTCTCTTTAAACTCCCACTCACTTTCCAATCCTTTCATTCTACATTTATAGTGAAAAACACACTTAACATTTATTTTTTATCTAATCTTAAAGATTTATCCACTGTACATGATGACCATTTAACATATTTCCAATACTCCTTATCTATTAATTGGCTTTCCAAATGGGAGCTGCATTGTACCAGTAAATAACTACTCCTAGCCTAGTAACCTCAGGGTATATCTTCTCATTCCTGCAGTTGATCAGAGTGGTTTCCAAAAAACGTTGAATTTATTAGTTTTTGATGTAGGCTGGAAAGGTTAAAGTTTTTTCTGTCTGTGAGATTTAATTTCACTTCCTGTCTCAGAGACACAACAGCAAGTAAGAGTAAATCTCTCCAAAGCAAGAGGAAAATCTACACTTCTACAGTTGTCACTGGAACTGATGTATACATTGAAAGTTCCTTTGAAAACTCTTGAAATTTGAATCCCCCTCATTTTCTGTACTGAAAACAATGGACACCTGGACATAAATGAGATTGATGTACTAAAGCCAAATAGTCTGTTCAATTTTTAAGGGAATTTTCCCTTAGCTTACTGAATGTGGACAAGCTCTGCTGGCTTTCATCATCCAATCATATTGTTTTATTTTATTTTCCTTGCACATGATTTGGTATTCTATGCAAAGTGAATTTTCACCGCATTCAGTAAGCTGAATTCCCTTTCAAAATTAAATTTCCCTTGCAAACCGAATAGCCTATTTGATTTTAGTAAATCAAGCACCCTGACTCTATTCATAACTTCAAGAGTGTGAGCTTTAAATCAAGGGGCTTGCATAACGTATCCAGTGAGAATTTTCTTTTGCTTTCAGATTGGTCCCCCTTTATTATTTCTACTCGAAGGATTCTCTAATGTGCCTTTAAATAAAGGAAAATGAAAACACCAATAAAAACCGCATGATCTTCCATTTATAATTTAAACTTGCCATTTTATGTGCATGGATACATACCAGAAATGCACAGTATACAAGAATACTAATATTTATTTCTACTTTCATAGGTGAAAACAGGTGAACGGGTAATATTAACAGATTATGGGCTTCTGTTTCTAAAGCTCCATAGAACAGATGCCGGTGTGTATTTTTGCCAAACTATTGAGCATAGTTTTGTTCATGTAATCCGAAAAATGAGTCTCGAAGTTGTGGAGGAAGAACGTGTGGAAGAAATGTTTAACAAAGAGGAAGATGAAGATCCAGTAATCCAAAAAATGCCTTGTCCTGTGCAGTCCAGCATTCCTCAACCCTCTAAACCATGGTACAAAGAGTTCTTGCAGCTCATTGGATACAGCAATTTTCACAAAGTTGAGGAATATTGTGAAAAAGTATGGTGTACTGATAAAAGAAGAAAAAAGCTAAAAACTCCTTCAAACAAATGGAAATATGTCCAGCAACAAGAACGGCGATCACGTGGAAAAGCAGATAATCATCGCATGCCACGGAGCATATTGGGACCATAACCTTTGCATTTCCTTTTTTTTTATGACTGTGAAGGCAAAACTTTACCCTATTACTGAACAGTTCCAAATACAAATTTCTGAACTGAACGTGTTGTAAAATATCAACAAAACCTTTACTGTGTTGGCATTATGTACATATTTTTATATATTTTATTTTTTAAAGGGTTTTAAGTATGTCAGCAGTCATTATTTTTAATATAAAATGACTGGGCCTGTTTTTGGGGATGTGATATACTTACACACACACGCACACACACACATATTATACACACATGTGAGCACACACACATTAACACACACACACACACACACATATCTGAATACAGCAGTTGTTGTTTAGCCAATAAATAACACAAATAAATAACATAAAAGCTACATAAAATTAGACTTTAAATGCAAGGTCTGCTTATCTTGTAGCTCCCCACATAAAAAAAGTAAAATCAATAAAAAATAAAACATTGGAAGAAAAATATAATAGGTAGATAATAAATATACCTTTCACCCTAGCTTTCGGCACAAAATCTGCTAGGCGACAGTGTCACTGCTCAATCAGTGCACAATGCTGGAGCATCTTCAGGAGACTTAGGGGTCTATTCACTAAAGGGTGAAGAGTTTGGAGAAGACAGGAGAAGTGAACAATCTAGGACAAAATAGCTGAACTGAAAAGTGAGCTGAATTGGAGAATTTCTCCAAATCAGCTTTTTTGGCCTAGATTGTTCACTTATCCTGCCTTCTCCAAACTCTTCACCCTTTAGTGAATAGACCCCTAATAGTTTTACCAGGAACCCATAATGAGAACCAGTGACCTACCGCACCGGTGACATCACTTTTGTTTACAAGGGGCTGCTGGAAGTCGAGGTGTAAAGGGAGTATTTTTTTAATTTTTCTCCCATAGTTTTGTAAGTTTAGTTGAAAAAAAAACTTTAAAACTACATAGTATAACTTTTTCTTTTGTTATTTATTAAAATATGGGATACAAGATTTTTTTTTAAACAAACATGTTAAGTCAGATTGTCCCCCTGCCAGACAACAGAAATATCAAAAGTCCATCTGGTCTACCTGAAGCTAATATTGTACATTTTGGGTGAGCTGACTCTTTAAAACTACATAGTATAACTTTTTATTTTGTTATTTATTAAAATATGGGATACAAGATTTTTTGTTTAAACAAACTATTTTAGCACAATCTTCATTACAGTGATGATTGTGCTAAAATATTATCTATAATATTTCTTATAAGTTATTGGCAGCACATTTTTAGAAAAGTGGGCCATAGGCTGAATATATAACAATGTTACAAGAGGAATCATAAGCACATGAAAATGAAAGAAGTAGATAAAATGTCAGTGTAACTAAAAGTGACATTTCAGCTTTTAGTAGCTGCAGATGGGTATCTTTTTTTTTTTGCCAAGTCTGCCATTTGTCATGGTCATTGAGAGAGAGTCTATTTCCCTATTAGTTTTCTCATGTATGTTTTTTTTAAAGATAATCAAGCAGGAGAAGGCATTTGGTCATGTGAGCTCCAGCTACAGGTGAAGTCCAGTCAATCTGCACTCTTATCCTATCCTTTAGCAGAGCTCATGCGAACAAATGCCTAGGCATCTGGTGACATGACCAGTCACCATGACATATCAAAGCAGCAGCTTCTGCAGTTAACATATTTCATGAACTTTTAAGATATGTATACTTTAAAACACTGCAAATACATTATCTTTCTGTTAATATTGTTTCATATCTGCAAAATGTCTGTAAATTCCTGTAGTGTTATATCTATATGTAAGCTAATTAGTTAACGTGTTTGTAAGATAAATGTGTGAAACATGTCCTTTTTGTACTTAACATTTTTTTCTTAAACTATACGCAAAATGTTTGTTTTTATAACTTAAGATTTCTATCTTTAAAATCTTTCAACAAGTACAGACTAAAGTAAGATTACATATAGCTGTATTTCGTGCTTGGGATAGTGTGAAGGGGTTTTTAAACAACGCAATGTTTAATTAGTACTTTAGGAAAAAAATATTTACTAGTAACATCTATTCAATGTTAATTAACATTTTGCATTTTGCTACAAACTAAGTTTACATGCCAATAAACATTTATAACTAAATAAATTTGTTTTGCTGTCTATACAAATAATGCTTAAAACTGAACTATAGTTTTTCTTTTAAATACCCTTGCAGTGGGGCAGTGCATTGCAAGTGTACATTTTTTTTAATGCTGAATAGGGCTTTAAAAAATGTTGAAAGGTTTATTTTAATAGATTCAATGAGCATAAGTGAGGAAAACCAAAACACCCTACCGCACATCTTATTTTACCATCCCACTGCAGGTTACAGAAGGAAAGATGAATCCTAATTGCTTGCCATAAAATGGTAATCTTAGGGGTCTATTCACTAAGCTGCCGAAGGATCTAGCCATAGCTTCGGCTGATCCTTCGACTAGCTTCGGCCCCAGCACCCCTTCGGTTCAGTAGAACCGAAGGGCTGCTGTACAGGCTATTCACTATAGCCCGTATAGCTCCCGAAGTCGGCCAAGCGACTGAGCCGAGGTGAAAGCCGAAGCTGGCCAAGCGGCCGGCCATTGGCTGGCCGACAGCCTGCTTCTGACAGCTGGGCGGAGCCAGCCATCATTTTACGGCTGGCTCCGGCCACTTGCAGAGAGATCAGCGTCCCTGGTTGGGAGGTAACCAGGGAGGCTGTCATTACACACTGAGAACCCGGCTGGGCCACTATGAAATCACAGCGGCCTCTCCGTGTTCTCAGTGTGAAATGACAGATGGCGTTCCTGGTTAACAAGTAATCAGGAACGCCATCTGTCATTCCTCCCCCGGACGCTCTGGGAGTCTAATAGGCTCCCGGCCGCCCGGGAGAGAAACACTTTCTCCCAGAAAGGTTCACTCTGCTCTATCGAGCAGAGTAAACCTTTCCCTGCTCGGTTAGTCACTTGGCTGCCTACAGCAGCTTGGTGAATAGACCCCTTAAGGTACAACAGGCAGGCAGATATATTTCTGGGAAGCAAAGTGAGTCTGCCAATCCTCTTACTATTAGTGTGCTTGATTCAATAGAGGAGGAATATGATAATCAACAAAAGTTTTGTCTTTTTTCCAATAGAAAAGGCAACATTTGGCTAACAGTCACAAAGATAATTTTTAATCTGTTAAGAAATTCCTTTGGATCACAGGAAATGATGCACCTCTACACAGCCAAACTACACTCTAAAGCTGAACTCCCAGCAGGCAGCTATATATACTGTTGATATACACATATGTGAACTGTCCTTTGTACCAACTGATTTGTAATTCTGTCCAGCCACTTTTGTGTGTCATACATCTTTTCCAGATAGTGCAGCAAAGAGAGTGACATCGGCAAAACTGAACTAAAGTTGCTCATTAGGCTGCTATGCTTAAAACAATATCTACAGTTGTATTCGTTATTTAGATGGCATGTTTTTTTTTTGCGCTTTCAGGGTAGTTTTTATTTAATTTCGCTTTCTTTGTATTTTTTTAAATTTAATTACTTAATTTTATATCCGCATTGGCTCACTTTATTACATTTGCTTGGAATATAGCTTTAAAGGCAGTAAAATAAACCTTTGTTCTTTTAAGACTTTTTACTATTCAAACTTTAGACTTTATATTTATGGAGCTTCTTTGGTATAATGATGAGGCTGCATGTCATCCTGACTGACAGATGTCTCAAAGAATTGTAATATTCATATGAGCCTGCTGTCTGCTTAGGGAAAGGTTGGGCATAAGAAAGAGATTGAGCATTCAAATATTAAATTATACTGAAGCAATTCCATAGTTACTGTGATTAGAAATGCAATATTTATAATTAACCCCCAAAAGGAAAGATTCACTGCAGTGTATTAGATTATGCAAACCTTCATGAAGCTAAAAATGATAAAGAAGTGCTGTTTAAATGCTTTGGACAATTTGATGATATGCACTATTTTTGTTAGCATAAACTAAGATTATAAACAAATGTAAATAAACTATTACTAGGGATGACTGAATCAATCCAGACAGCTCAAGCTTTGGCCAACATTGGGCTGATTGGCAGATATTTTATGACCTGGCAACCAGGACAACAGGTGTACAGGCTGGTATCTCCATGGTTGGATGGTTGGATTAATAAAATATGTTTTATATAGCTGAGATACAGTAGTACAGCATGCTGTTCCATAACAAATGAAGTACAGATGCTAGCAAGAACTGAACACTCTGTACCCAAATGCAACTCATCTGTCCCGTTTAGTGGCTAGTTGAGAAACACGGAAGGCAAATTGCAATCTTCCCCTTGTGAACTGAGAATAGTGGAGAAAAAAGTGGAGAACCAGGAAGATGCATTAAAAGTGTATGGCAGACTTTTTTGGGGTTCACCTCTTGATGCTGAAGGGCAAACAGGATGGTATCTTTTTCTTAAATAGCTAATAGACCTAAACCTTCAAGCATATCTTTTGGGAGTGTGGCACACTTCAAATGTTTTGGATAAACAGTGAGATCCTAATAAAAAAAAGGTGTATGATATGGATATATTTAATTGCTTAAACGCACTATTCGAATGATGTCTACATAAAATCTAGGGTAGGGGGTTAGTGAATTAAAATTCACGGCGGACCAGTGCGTAACATTTTCATTGAGCAGAGGTCCACATTGTGGTCCAGACAGAACGGTCACTCAGTCTGTAACCATTCCATGGTCTGCCATTTAGGCTGCATTTACTGTACACCAGCAGCTGCCCTACAACACACAGCTGGTGGCTTGTGTTCCCAGGCCCAGTGCTGATTTTTATTTTTGTTTATTTTATTATTTTGTTTCTTTTTTATCACCTTTTTTATTTATTTTTTTCATTTAACTTTTGCTATCACACAGGGGATGACAATCCCCTATGTGACAGCATTTGGAAGTGATAGGTCCTCTTTATGGAGACATCAGGGGTCTATTAGAGAATTGTGCTTAATTGTCTTTTTACCCGACATATCAGCCAGGCTTGTGACTGCTCTCAAGT